GAATATTCCCTGTCCGGGGCCGCCATATTAGATTTTGGTCCGCCATCTTGAATTCCAAAATGGTAGTGGATGTCGGTTTTTTACTTTGACTGTTATACCAAGCTATTGATTTTCATTTTGGTTTTTTGTTACCTCAAAATCAGCTAATAGTACGTTCAGACTACAGAGTTATAACATGTTATAGCGCTATCTTGATGGTGGTCTCTGTGTTGCAATTATTTGACAACCGTTATAACATGTTATAACTCTCCAGTCTGAACAAGGCATAAGGTTAAAATCAGCCTTGATATTCTGTTGTGTGATTTTGCTACTCTCAAGATCAGTGAAGATAAAATCAGCCGTGATTTTCTGTTTGTGATTTTGCTGATCTCAAGATCAGCAGTGATTTTCGACCGTTCCTGATTTTGGATTTTCTTGATTTTTTAAAATTGGATTTTGATGCCATTCGTAATTAGACCATGCTTTGGTCCATATAGACATATTTTTAAAATGTCTGTATTTACACCAAAAATTGGGATTTTTTTTAAATGGATAATGTGATTCGAACCAAGTTGGTAGGTTGTGCCGTTATCGAGAAATCGTTACAAACGTAACGTGTCAATTACGACTCAGCCGAACTTGAGTGTATTTAACTTTTTAACATTTTTTGAAAATTTTATTTGAAATTACTAAAACATTTTTTGTATATTTTAACCTTGAAAACATTATTTTTCTCTATAACTTTGTCTCTGTCGTAATTTTAATCAGATATGCCGTTTGCATGCTATTTTCTTTTTAAATTTCAAGGTCTGGTTTGGAAAATTTTACAAGATTCAAAATGACCGAATTATAACAAAAATGTGAATCTTTGCCCATAGCAAACAATTATGCAGAGTTTCATGAAGGTTGAATTTTATTTGTATGGGCCGTGTATAATTCCCAACCCCCCTCCCCCTAGCATGACTACGTAGTTTATAGACAACCCCTGATGAGCCCCCTTAAATATTGTTGAAAATATTGATGTAAATATTCTGTCGTGTAGGGTACACTTAAGCCTTGGTGTTGGTCATGACCGTTGGATTATTTCGGGTTACCCCGCAGCAATCAGGCCGCAACCGCCAACAGTTTCATCACCAAAATGCGTTGCAATGTTTCTGTTTTCGTCCCGTACAAAACATCCGTGAACAACATCGTCGTTGCAGTCAGGGACAGCGTTGCCAGAATGGTTTAAAGCTTATCGGTATCAAAGGTTTTAAAAAATCGGTATTTATCGGTATTTACTATTTTAATTAATTTTATATTTTTGCCGTTTTTGGAAGCGAAAATTTTAAATTTTGGACTATGATCGGAAAATTCCGGAAGAAAACTCCGGGGAATGTTTGAATTAGTTTCTGGAGGAAGCTGAAAACAACATCCAGAGAAAGAAGGAAGAAGCTCTTCTGGAGGAAATTTGAGAAAAGTTCTGAGAGAAGTCGGAAAAACATCCGCGGAACTTCCAAGACATAAATTGAGAAACTTCTGGCGAAAATTTAAAGAAACTTTCAGAAAAAAACGGATTTAACATTCAAAGGAAGGCAGAAAAGTTTCGGAAATCGGAAGCAAATTCCAGAAGTAGCCATTTCCAGGGGCAACCAGAAGAAGCTCGGAAAAACCTTCCAATAGAAGTCAAACAAACAAACAAAAAACAACTGTACAAAATTCCAGAACTAGACGGAAGGAATTTCTGGGAAAAGTTTAATTGAACTTCCTGGAGAAGACGAAAAGAAACTTCCTGTAGACGCTGGCAGAATCTTACTAAAGTAGGTTGGAAAAAAAAATCTGGAGAAAGTCGGAAGCCAGAGCGCTTACGGAACAGTCGAAAGAAACAAGGACATAACTCCGGAAGAAAGAGCTCTAATGGATGTTCTAATGATCCAGAAAATTTTCTAAATGGTCATAAAACATCCCTGAAGACCCCGCAATGCACCTGAAATTTTGGGAGCATTCCTGAAATGTACTTAGGAATATTCCATATTTTATCGGAATTCCTTAAAAGTTCTTGTAATTTACCTTAAGTTAATAGGGCTGATTACGTTAATAGGAAGATTGCGAAATTTCTTATGCGCACCATTTTCTTAAATTTATTGTTACATCAGCATTGAAGTTCTCTGATCTTCCCGATTTTTCTAATTTTTAAAAGTTATCGACACTGCCATTAATAAACACGGAACTTCCCATAAAATGTTCTCACAATGTGCTTACGTTTCTTAAATTTGCATGAGCCCCTCGGAACATTGCTGAAGTTTTCGGAAATTGTCTGAGTTTATCGGAACTCCTTTAAAATTTCAGCGATTTTCTTAAAATTTATTGATCTGTCCAGATGTTCTCGGAGCTTTCTAAAGTTCTATCAATTCTTCTAAAACTAATGAAACTGTCCTGAAAAACATTAAATTTTCCAGAAGTTCTTTGGACTTGTGAAGTTTCCAAAATATTTATAATGTTTCCTTAAGTTCACTGGAGTTCGCTGGACTTTCCTAAAATTTCCGGTCTTTAGAATTTTAACAGAAGTTATTGAAACATTCTTTAATTTATCGAAACTTACTCAAAACTCTGAACTTTTCTGATGTTTCAGAACTTCTTAAAAGTTCCTGCAGCTAGTGTGGATCCACAATCAAAATCTGAAAGCATCTCTGAAGTTCCGGGAAATTTGAAAAAAAAAAACTGGTGGGAGAAGATGGAAGAAATATTCGAGTGAAGGCTGAAGAAGCTTCCAAGGGAAGTTGAAATAAGCTTCCGAGAGGAATCGAAAAATAATCTACGATGTAAGGTGGAAGAAAATCCCAGGGGAAAGTTGGAAGAAAATTCAGGAAATTTAATAATGTATAAAAAGTATTTCCCGTGGAATTACCAGAAAGAGCCATCGACTGTTTATCGATTCATGAGTAGCCTAAAACGATGAGGATATTGAAACATTAATCGAAAGAGTATCCATAAGACTTTAAAATGTCTTTTGATGATTTTAGAATTTTAAAATCTCAAACAAATTAAGATATTCAAAAAGATACAAGTCTCTCACAATAATTTTCTCCGAAATTCGAGCAAGAGCAGGCAATAATCATTTTGATTATTTAAAAAAAATCGGTTTAAATCGGTATAAAACCTCAAAAATCGGTATTCTGAGGAACCTTATCTGTATATCGGTATCTAGTTTGGAAATCGGTATAAATACAGATAAATCGGTATATCTGGCAACGCTGGTCAGAGAAGCCGCATAAGCTGAAGGCCTAATTTTTAAATGTAGATCGACTGTACGTCTTTTCTTTAAATTTTTTAAGAAAATAGTTTGTTAAATTGATTATATTTTTCAAAATTAATCGAATAACCAATCAAGTGCATACCCATTTTTAAAAACGGACCATTTGACAAAAACTAAGTAATATTTCCTCAGTTAGGCTATTTTTTTGTGGTGAACCATAACTGGGTGAAAGTAACTCTGATTTTGAAAAATGCTAGCATTACTCAAAAGGTTTACTCACTTTAGAGTAGTTCCACTTTACCGAAAGAGAGTAGATTTTTACTCACTTTTGGGTAACATTGAACGAGCGTGAACAAACCAACTTGTTGATTGGAGCGAAAGTGAGGATAACAATCTTCGAACTTTAACACTCCGAACACGATGCCGCCGGTAAAATGTGCAACGGCAAACATGCAATGTTTGAAAAATCTTAGCTCAGCCATTTATTGACAAATTTCAAATCTATTGACGCCATTTGTAACTTCATACTTTAAAGATTTATTCGGTATCAATGAGTTTACAATCCATCAATAAATTGCTGAGCAGTGGTTTTTCAAACATTGCTAATTTGCCGTTACACATTTTACCGGAGGCATCGTGTTCGGAGTGTTAAAGTGGGATTACGCAAGTATGCGTGCTATAATTTGACCATATGTCCATATGAATTTGCGTGGATTTGGTTGTGTCAGACGGAGCTGGAGCCGTCAGCCGCTTGCTCTCCTCCACACCGGATTCGTCGGTCGGTAGCACGCACTTGAGGAACATCTCCGAATGATTAGCCCCAACTAATTACACTAACTTTCCTACTACTGAGTCTGCTACTTGTTCACTGCTGCCGTCACCTGAATAAGCCCCACACGGTAACCGCGAAATACCCAATAATGACTACAAAGTAATCATTTTCGAGGAAGACTGGGACTACCCATTAAATGAGTAAACATATTACCCATTTATGAGTATTTGTTACTCAAAAATGAATACTACTTATTTTTGTAGTTGTAATGACTCATAAATGGGTAAAATTTTACTCATTTAATGGGTAGTCCCAGTTTCCCTCGAAAATGCTTACTTTGTAGTCATTATTGGGTATTTTGCGGTTACCGTGCAAGCAGTTTTTCATCTTTTCTCCAATTCCCTCCTCTTTGTCCTTTCCGCAAAAGGCAAACATTTTCATCGCCTACTTAGTGTGTCCGAATATTATACATACCTCATGTGTGAGTTTTCCCTCGCCTACTTCAACCTTTGCATCAAGCAACACATGTGCTCACGCGGCAAAAAAAATTGAGGGTACGCGGAAAAGTTTTTTTCTTTTACTGCTTTAGTTTTTAATTAGATTTTGTATTTACTCTGCTCCCGTTTACTCCAGCAACGGTGTGGTTTGCTTTCAACACAAGGGACGCATGTTGCTTGAATCTTTTTTTTTTCGAAACATAGTAGGCGAGTGTTCCTTTTAATTAGGGCCTCTGTGGCCCCGGATTTTACTGTGTTGCTGAGTTTAAATTTTTTTCCCCGGATTTGGCCGACTACGATCCCCTTGTTGATTGCCGTTAAAAGTGACACAGCGCATTTTGTTTCAGTTATGGGAGTAAAAACGTCCCTCTGTCGTTCTTAAGCTACGGTGCTAGTTTCTGTTTTTAGGTATTAATGCAGCTTTCACTGGGTGTTTTTTGCTCGCTTCCTAATCCTAACTGGTTCGCTGGCTGACTTATCTTATGCTAACCGAGTAATCCTTGGCCAATGCTCTTACCTCTTCGCCGACGGTGCTCGGGTACATGCGGCTGGGCAGGTTCTTCTCCAGGCTGAACTGGTCCTCGGTGGTTTTCCGATAGACCGGATTATCGAAGTTCATCGAGGTGGAATTTCGGTTCACATGGTGCCGGTAGATCAGGTAGGCGGCCTGTGGTAGAAAAAAAAAAAACGAATTAAGAAAAAACCGTTGCCAAGTGCGAATCTCGCAATACTCACACAGAAGAACACGATGACAACGATCGTGATGATCCCGATCGTTATTCCGGCCACCAGCCCGGAATCGTTCTCCAACACGTCCGGTATGATTATGGTTCCGTCGGTACCATTTCGCATGGTAGCTACAAAGTTGTTTTTGAAAAGAAAAACAAAAAGCGAGGAGTAAAAAATTAGATTAATGTTGATTAAATTGCATGGCGTTGTTGTTTGTTCCAACACTGCGAATAACCACCGCCAGCAGCCACACGGGAGAGGTTATGTCGTGGTTTACTTGGGGTGGCTAAACAAACAACGCCATTATCGGGTTGGCTGGGTTTGGTGCCATCTGGGCGGGTTATTATTCTTGATTAAATCCCTCGTCCTTTTAAACCCGGCGGTGGCAGGTTCCAAGCTGACCTTGACGGTTAAAAACGAAACCCTTTCTGGTGGTCGCCGAAATGTGGATAGTTTAAATGATGGAACAAAAATGATAAAACAAATAAATAAAACACTGTTTAATAGACTAACATAAAAGGAAAACAAACGAAACAACTCTGAGAGAGAAACATTTATCAGATTAGCCATGTGTCAACTGCGGATGAACTGTCACTGTGATGATGCTGTATGAACAAATACTGCAATCGATAGCGTAAAACTTTCTCCTCGAAGCTCCGCATCATGCTGGGTTTCAAGCACTCGGTATTTCCCCCTGACCGTGTCTCCGTTTGAAACTGAAAGTTTTGTTCCATCATCATGACGCTGGCTGCTGGTGTGCGGCGGATGTCAACCAAGACCACCACCAGCTTGCCACATGTGTCAAACTCAAACAGAAAAATTCCTTCGTTAACCAACGCATAGTTTTCTCACACGCAGCACTTTTCCACCGAACGAGAGGGGGAGAGAAAGTAGCAGCTGCACAGAACTAGAAAACATGAAAGTTTCTGCACACGACTAATCACAGTTGGCTGGGGTGAGGTGAGGGTGGTGGTCTCTGCTGGATGTGACAGAAAATCCTGGCCAACTGAGAAACGAAACCTGTCAGCGAACAAGTCAAAAGCACACTCACTCACACACACACACATACATTAAGGAGAAAAAGGTGCTCCTGATGAGAGAAGGCCGCACTAGAGGGGCACTCAATACCCAGGATCGGTGCGTCGGACTTAAAATGCAAGCAAACGATGTGGCTGTTTTCCATTAATTTGGTAAATTTTGAACACTTCGAAAATAAATTCAAGAACCACATGTGAAAAGGGCATACAAGTTTTTTTGTTAACAAACCTTTGTAGGCCCTTTTCTCGCCAATCGAGGGTCACTTCGTCTTGTTTCGCCTACTAACGACTCTCTGTTGACAATGTTGGGGAAGCAGCAATACTACATCGACATTTTTCGTCTAGAAACGATTCTCTGATGACTGTGTTTAGGAAGCAGCATATGCATGACGCTTTTGAACAATGCTTAACATTTACCACTTTTTCGATAGTTTCTTGTTGAAAATCAACAGTCGGGAGCATTGTTATCGATGCGTAGAAATATTTTTGATCGATTGGTGGTAAATTTATTGAAATTGGTCCAGGGACAGCTGAGTTATTAACGTTCAAAACCTTTCATAATTTTGTTACATGTTCCATTTTCGGTTTTCACGAAACTACAGAGCACCTAAGTAGTGAAGGGCCGTTTCTCTTCTTTTATCCCACACAAAGCTGCAGTGAAACGGACACAATTTTTTCAGATCACAAAGTGTGGTTGATTGATTGGGATTGATACATTTGGTGGGGAATCCATTTCGATTCATTTCACATTCAGAAGTACACTATTCCACAGGACCTAGGCGAAAATTTGTGGCTTTGTTTCAACATGCAACAATTGCTTTTATTAACAACAATGACATGCGCTGCGCAGGCACAGATATAACTAATACAGTGTTGCCAGTAACTTCTAAGATCCCGATATTGTTTAACCATGGCTGCCAAATAGTACATATGAGTGTGGCTTGGTGTGGCCTACACTGAGGCAAATAGACTTGAGAATTTCATAAGGCTCGGCTTATGAACGACACATATGAATTTCAAAAGCACGAAAATGTTTCGTCTAACATGAGGTAGCTCTTCTACGCCATTAGCCATTCAAATTTCCCAAGCGTTAGCAGACGAGTGGTCCAGTAACAGGACCCGTAATCTAAACGTCCAAGGTTCGGTTCCAGTCTGCTCCATTTTGTGTCGACATTATTTTTCATAAAGCAAATCTTTGAAATGCACACCAATTTTATGTGACTAAAATTCATAAGTGGTTTTTATGAAATTCTTACGTTCTTTTGCCTCACTGTACTGTGTTTTTGGCACACTGTGACCAACCCGTTGAGTTGTATTGAAAATAATGAACGTAATAACGTAACTAAAAATACTTAAAATTTTATTAATGGTTCTGAATATGTAGTTAACGGATTTTAATTACGAAATTACGACAGCAATTAATGGACTTGAAAAGTAGGATGGTATAATTAAAGTTATTAAATCTGTAATTAATGGAATTAATGTCCTTCCTGAGCTCAGCCCGTTAAGACGCAGCTACAAAGCAAGACCATACTGGAGGGGGCTGGGTTCGATTCCCGATCCGGTCTACGACTTTTTCGGGTTTGAACATTTATCGACTTCCCTGGGCATATAAAGTATGATTGTTCTTGCCGCACAATTGGGTTCTTTAAGGTTATTGAGGATAAATGCATATTCGTAATCTGCATTAAAAATGGAACCGAAATCCAAAATTTCATCAATGTTGGTACACTGGAACTATTTTAAATAAATGCGATTACATTAGCAAAAATCACCATCTTAACGCCCCTCGGTGGGACTTTGTACACAGAAAAACAAAACTACCCACCGCTTGAGTTTTTTAAACTCAAATTTGAGTTAATTGACCTCTGCCCGTTTCATTTCCTCTCGCTATTGTTGTCAAAAATAGAACGAAAGATTCGACTCAACCGTCTAGTTCCGTACGAGAAGCCAAAATTGAGTAATATGCGATATACCCAAATTTGAGTTAATTGAACTTAATTTTGGGTAGAAAAAATTGAAAATAACTTAGCGATGGGTAATTTTTTTTGCCGTGCTTAAATGCAAACTACTTTGAGCCGGTTTACCCAAATTTGGCTTATTGTACGGAACATGGGAGATGAGTGAAAAGAACTTAATTTTGGGTTGTTTTGAATTTCTGTGTATGGAAGCATGCTGTCAGTTTGTTAATTTAGTGTCAAACAGTGCAGTTATGATTTTGCTTTAAATGTTGATTTGAGAATCGAAAAAAGTATCGTTGTGCTCAGAAAACGAAGCTTTTTCAGATGATGTATAAAACCGATAAATTTTCCAAATTAAAAAAAAAACACAATTGATACTAATGCAAAAATGGAACAGGCATCGAAAGCTATCAATTAATAACTGTGGAAGTGCATCTAGAACACTAAGTTGAGAGCACACCATAGATTAATATGCGATAAGCAATAAGCTTGAAATGTGAGGAAGAAGAAGACGGATAAGAAGCCTGCGTCGGAATTAAAGGTTATTGCGTGCCGCTCGGCCACAATCTTTTGAGGCTTGAACATAATATGCCGGAATTATTTATTCGTGGCTTTATTGATTAAAGTTAGAGAACTACTTCGGCATAAGAGCCTATTTTCGACATATCGATCAGAAACTCCATATACATTCAACTCTTCATAACTCGGAATTGAAGGGGTCATCGAGTTAAAGAAGTATCGATTTTATCGTCTATAATTTTAAGAATAATACCTAAATACTCCATTTACTAAAATATATGGCTTAATTTACTGATATGAATTCAAAAATGCTTGTAAGATCCATTTATGGAAGTTCTGAGTAATTAATTTATAATATTTAGCCAATATATACACAGCCCTGTTGCGTGCTGCCTACTCTTGAAATTTAATTTTTTCGTTATATCAAAGGTTCTGGTCCGCTTTGAGAATGTCTGTCCATTAGGCCAAATCTCGCGTAACATTTGAAAAGGGTCTAAGTCCAAAATTTGAACAAACCAGAAAATTAATTTAGATTTTTCCACCACCATTCAATTCATATACAGTCGAATTTCGCTCGTTGGGCTATTTTTACGTGGGCTACTTTTTAGTTAGCCACCTAAATCGAAATAAAACGTCATTTCTGACAGTGCTGATTCCTTTTCGAGGGGCTCATGGATGAAAAAATTGGAGTATTTTAGGCATTTATATTGGCCACAATAACAATAGTAACTGTATCTCAGTATACAACATCCAAAATATGCGAAAAGTTTTCAAAAACATATGAAAATCGATAACAATTTTATTTCCTAAATTAATAAGCCTTTTTGTGAATCTTTCAATGGCTGAGCCCTTTTTTGATCCATTGTGTTTGTCAACAGAAATGGTACGCCCTTTGCTAAGCCTTTTCGCAGCGCAAATAAATTCAAAACAAATAATCGGCCTTGCCTCAAGCAGTAGGGCCTATGTTTGGTTTGAAAATTTTCAATCATCGGCCCTTCTACGTCACTGGTTTATCAATGAAATGCGGAACTTTCCTACTCGATTAGTAGCTATCAAGCGGTGCTATAGAATGGTATTAAAACCCGAACGTTTTGGATATAGGCCTATTTCAAATGTTACTCTAGAAATGGTCATTAGCCCAGACTTATACAAATTTGGACGAGCTTCCTTACACAGTTATGTTTTTAAGATATTAAGCACTTAGACATTTGTCCTGACTATTGGGCCGTTTCGGAATCGTATAAATTTCTCCATATCCGGTATATTTTAAAATAAAACTACCTGAGACAAATTGTCTTAATCCAGGGTCATAACATTTTCTAAACATGAAATCTCAAAATTTATTAATTTATTAAATTTTACCAAGTCAACGGCAGTGGTCACTCTACACACTCATGAGGCGTCAACTTGTTTCTCAGTGTGCTGGCAACACCGACGAACTGACATGCCACAGGAATATTTCATTTGTCCATAATTCGATTTGTCAAACAAGCGATTCGAACTTTCAAAAGGGCGATCAGATCTGTCAGACGAGGTGAGACGCAAACCAAGGCAAGGACGTGGGTTCACGTCCTTGCTCATGATACGACGCTAGCGGATGAGTAGATGGCG